AGTTTGCCCCATGTAAAATTGTTCGTGGAACAATCTCTCCAATTGATTCCAGTTGTGGATCGAATTGGCTGGGAGGGTGGTAAACCAGGTAAAAGCGTTTTTAGTTAGAGAACTTGGGAAGTATTTAATCCTAAGGCTCTCATTATTTGATATTTCCCCAGCTTCTATCAAATATCTTGCTATATGTTCGACAGTGGACTCCGTCGTATCCCCTGAAAACTTAGTGAAATTTCCACCTAGGGGGAAATCTGTTTGCAAGATATACTCTGATAATGGGGATTTAAAATTTGGCCTATGAAAGCCAATGTTCATTCTGTTTTGTATCATGATCCTTTCAATCATGGCTGTCAGATTATTTTTTGTGCCATAATTATGGTGCCAAATTTGCTGTATCAGTTTGTCAGCATTTTGGTTTCTATTTACTACCATTACACCTTGATCACTATCTCCAGGGATCTATGGGGGAAATCTGGGTATTTCGACCCTAGGTTGTTCGATTTCCACTATGTGGTTCCTCCTATCTTAGTGTGGATTTTGGTTAATGGTTACGTCTTCTTCTAAGACTATACCTTGATTCTCTCTTATTGGCGCTCGTTGGGGTTGTTGAATAAGTTAGGGAACCCCAAAAATTCCAGCCATGCATGCCATCTGCGTTGTCATTTGTTGGTTCGACTGAGTAGTATTTTGTATTAGAGGGTTCAACACCGTACTCAGAGTTTGGGCCAACATTTGTACCATATCATGGTTACTTTCATCCATCTGTTGCCTTAAAATTTCCGTGGAAGCATTTGTAAGGCTTGGTATAGCATGGGACGCCCCTCCTAAGAGTTGGTTTCTACTCAAATTTCCCATGTCGGTTCCAGATCCTTGTAATGGATAAGACGTGCTTACCAAAGGTTCTGAAAATGTAGACGCAGCATTCATAAGGCTAGCCATTTCAGTAGTTGGCATGCCATAAGGCTGGTCTCGACCCATCCAAGCTGTCGAAAATCCTGGGGGAGCGTATAGTTGAGATCCTGGACTCACCCTTGGTGGGGGTGTTCCTGCTGGACCTCTGGGACCTGCATACGAAAGTATTGGTCCAATTTGAGTTGTTGTTAATGTTGGTATCGAACCAACAGTTAACGAGATAGTTTCACTAACGGTTGGTATAACTGTTGTTCCCGTAGTAATTGGTGAAGGTATTTCTCCATTATTTGGCTGATTAGCCATTTCGCTTTCACTATTTCTCCTTCTAGTTGTACACTCGTTGGTGATTAATTTACCACTTCTTAATAGCATACAAGACTTTGTAAAAGAAAGGAAATCTTGTAAAGCATTTATGTTAATATAAACAAGCAGAACAAGAAATAATAAAAAAAATAAAAATTAACAACGTTCCACCAGGTGTGCCAATTTGTTCACCGTGGTTTTCGGTAAACAACCGCTGATCTTCCAAAAAGGGTACTTTTTTGGTTACTCGCAGAATCGATCAGTTTGATCCTAGGACATATGCTAACTTTTGGTGTTGTTTGGACATAAATGCTAATGTAAGTGAAGAACGCACGTTCGACTGGGAAAGGGATGAGTTTGAGTGTAGAAAGTAAATAGAAAAGGAGTTGAGAAGAGTTTAAGTGCAGGAATCTGGGTAAAAGTGCAGATAAAGTGCAAACAAGATAAAAAGGCGAGAAATGTAAAGAGAGAAATAAAAGACTTTGATTCTAAAATGTGGTGTTTCAAACGTACATTTTCAGTATTCTTTCTCACGCAGCGGGTACTTGAATAATATTGTATAATTTGTACGATCAGTTGAACACATGGAAATCTACATAAACTTCCTATATTTATACTAAAACTAGGTAATAGTCGAGGAGTTGCCTTGCTCTAGGATGAACACAAGTGTCTTCTGCATGCGCTTCGACCCCTCTCTTCATGCCACGTTGCTTTCCTTAACTGCCAAGCAAATTGTTTTTCCCTCCACTATAACATTTATTGTCTCTGGCAACACTTTTTTAGGTTACATGTAAAAATTGTTGCCTCAAATTCGTATAGGCAACAATTTATAGTTGTTTCCAAAAATATATTTGCAACCCTTGATAATCGTTGCCTAAAATACTATTGGGGACGTTTTTGGAGCGTCATTCTTTTATTTTTTTGGCAACGATTGTTAATTGTATCCTTAACTGCTTCTGGGGACGATTTTAGAGCGTTAATATATTACTTCTTTAACAATGTTTGATAATTATCCCCTAAAATACTTTTGAGGACATCTTTAAATTATTACATTAGTTATAATAAAAGGCTACACTTCTTCAATGTTGCATAAAATTTTAGCACCATCAAATTTTTGGTGGGAATCTTCCCTCCAAAACTTATACCCTAAAAAACAAATATTTCCCTCTAAATATTATTAAAATGAATATATATATATATATATATATATATATATATATATATATATATATATATATATATATATATATATATATATATATATATATATATATATATATATATATATATATATATATATATATATATATATATATATTCTAACACATAATATAATAATATATAACTATAAAAAAGGTGCACACTTTTTTTTAGAATAAAAAATCTAAAAAATAATCAGACATGTTCCAAAGAAAAAAAATGTCAAACAAATTGAAAAGGAAAACGAAAGTTCTCCTTCTTCAAACACCCTACCGCCGAATCTCATCCTGAACCGTGTTGTCGTCTCATCTCGCCAGTTGATTCTTTCAGTGTTCACAGTTGTTGATGATGACACCTTCTGCTCCTGCGGCTCTCCCCCTTCCTGCATCGTAACCACCCAGTCTAATCACGTTCGTCGTGCCGCTTTCGATTCCATCGACATCACTGTCTTTCTTCCAACGACGGCATATTCTATTTCATCTCTTTTACTCTTTATTACATTTGCATTTTCATTTTCTCATTTTTTGATTATTTCTCTCTAGGTCGTTTGTGCAACATCGTCGTTTTCTCGGTTAAAGCTCAATTAGGTATTTCATCAGTTTCAAATTGTTTGGGAAAGAAACGTTATTGTTTTATTGACTATATTTGTTGTTGTTGTTGTTACAGTGAAGGAAGTTGTATAGAAATTGAAGTCGCTTTTAGCTAAGGATAAACTTTTAGTTTTTGTTGTTGTTGGAATCAAGTTGAAAGATCTTTAGGTAACAGAATCCTGTCATTTTTCTCCTTCATTTCCTCTTATAGAGTAGAATTCTTTATTATAAATTTACACAAGCTTGAGTTAATCTGTTTTTACAAGTTATATAGTCTATTTGTTGTATATAAGTTGAAATTAACAATGCTCAAACACCCGACACGTACTGAAAATAACACTGACAAATACATTGGTAGTAATAAGAAAATGTCAAATAGAAATAGTTGAATATATCATGTCTCAGGATCAGACAATACTTCAACTTGAAGTACCAATAATATATAGAAACCAAGTAAAAATCAAGCAACGTTGTTGAGCAATAAACATGTAGACCTCCAAAGCTTTCATTTGGACGAGGCCTGTAGGGCCAACATGTGTTAGAAAGCAATAAACATCAATATAAGTGATAGCCCTTTTTAGTTTTTATAATTATATATGGACCAAAATTAAGAGATACTGGAACTTTCAAGAAACAATAATCCTAAAAATTGAATCTAACTCTTTGAAGAAGCACACAAGATATCACAATAATGACAAATCTTATACTCAAAACAAACCAGTGTATTATATGAACATATTCAACCAAGGACTAAGTCATTTTTTATAATATCATAAATACGCAATCACAAGTTTTAGGCTCTTAATGACGTGGACATGTGAAAAATACATAAACCAACTGCAAATAATGTCTACAAGTGGAAAAATAGATAAAGTAATTAATCCTAATTCGTGAAATGCTAAAAAGTAGTCAATCTTAACTGCATTATGTACATTTGCAGCTTAAAACGATACTTCACTTCTTCTCGTTTTTCTCTTAGTGGTTGCATTATGTTTAAGCAAACTACAACATCAACATTAATTTTTCAACAAGCAAACACATCATAGAATTGATATATACAAAGACAACCTTAAACTATCTCTTCCATGAAGTAACATATGTAACATAGTTTAGCTCATTTAGTCTATGTTTGGACTGCATGTTTAGATTAAAAGTTCACCAATTTAAACATGTACTAATATTTAGTGTATATTTAGATTATAAATTAGATTGCCAGAATCACTGTGTTTGTAAAAGCTACTTAATTTATTGAAAAAATTTGTGTATTTTCTCTATATATATTTACTTAATTTTTGATGTAATGTAAGTAAATTATATTAGTAAAAGGTTTCTAATTCCATGGCTCTAGCTATATATTGTTATTTTATTGTTGATATAAACCTTAAGTTTTTTTTTCTTTTATTAGAAAATCAAAAGAGCCTTGTATATGTACATATAATTAATGATGTACATATTTTGATGTATATGCTTTGTGTTTGAGCTTCACCTAGTATGGGCCAAAAAGTTTACATTTTCCCATTTTCATGAATAAAAATATAGAACTTATTATTATAAAGAAAAGTGTGAAAGAAAAGAGAATTATGTGAGAATAACACGAGAAGGGGTCACGTACAGTTATGTAAGGTTATGAATCATAGGTTAAAAAGAGAAAAATAATGGTTGTGATATGATCCATAAACCTATAATATTAGAAACAAAATTAAATGTTGTGTCGGGTTGAAGGAGAATTGAATGTCATTAGTACTTATCACTGCCAATGTAGATGAAAATATTAATTTTTTATTATTATTATTATTATTATTATTATTATTATTATTATTATTATTATTATTATTATTATTATTATTATTGTTGTTGTTGTTGTTGTTGTTGTTTTGTCACTGTTTCTCTGTTTGTATCCCATCAAAAGCTACTTTTTTACATGAATAATGGTATTTTGCCATCCTTTATACTAGAGAAAGAGTAACATTTAATTTATTTTATTTTAGAAAAACAAACATGATAAAAAAGGATTGGGTGGAGTTTCCTCCACACAGTCAAGGTTACAAGGATGGTGTCAATTACTTTTTAGATATTGCATTCACCAAAGGAATGGTTGAAGAAGAAGAAATTTTGTGTCCTTGTGTTGTATGTTGCAATGATAGTTGGAAAGTAAAAGATGTAGCATATGACCATTTGTGTAGCAAAGAATTTGTAAAGGGATACACTAAATGGATTTATCACGGTGAAGATGAAAGCCTTATGTGAAGATGAAAGCCTTATGAATCTTGATGGTGATAGTGATGGTGAAACACCATCTCATGATGATATTGATGACTTGCTATTTGATACATTTAAAGACGTGGATGAATGAGGTGGAGTACATGAAGGGATAAATGAATAACGTGTCATAAATGCCAAAAGGTATACACCTGTCATGATATACTATTTTTGAAGTTGAAAACATGGATAACACATGGGTGTAATTTGATTCTATAGGTATTGCTGTCAATGTTGCAAAAGAAAAACATGCACTTTTTAAGGACAATAATTATGCTCTTTCTTGATATCCTCTCATGTGTCATGTGTTTCGATATCATGTTTTTTTAATTCAACCAGTGCTATTGAGGTATAAATCAACTTATGTACCCAACAGGTATCCCACTTACAACAGTTGTTTCTGGGTATTAATGCATAATGTATTTTGCTCGTTATTTTTGTTGTTTATTTGTGCAAGGTTTAATTCTTATTGATGTCCTAATTCTCCTTTGGACCAAAAATATTTATGGTTGATGTATTTTGTTTTATTTTCTTATGCAACAAGGTATTAATGAAGATTTTGAAAAGGACGATATAAATGATGAAATTCAAGAGGACGGCGTAGATGCTGGATTTCAAGAGGATGTTATAGGTGATGAATTTCAAGAGGACGACATAGATCTATATGATGAATTTGAAGAGGACGGTGTAGATGGTGAATTTCAAAAGGATGACATAGATGAAGAATATCTGGAGGACGACATATGTGATGAATTTCAAGAGGAAGATCTGGATGACGTATTCCAAGAAGACAAACTTGAATGAATTGGATGATGTCTTTTTTTTTTGGCTTGTAGTTGAAAGCATTAAACTTGAACTATGTTTTTTGTTCTTCTACTGAACTTTGTTTTTTGTTATTTTACTAGGGTCATACTTCAAAGTATTAAACTTAGTGTTATAAGTAATGTTATGTTAGACATTTAGTTTAGTGGATAGTATCTTGAATTAATGTTTGAACTCGATTTTATTATAATATAACTTTTGTGGAGGTACGGTTAAATTTGATATGGTTTAAATTACAATCAAAAATTTTTTAAGCCAGTATTCATCGACTAAATTATTTAGAAAATAATTGCAAAATTGTATATTTTATATGCACACTGTAAAACAACAACCTATAAGCTATGGCTACACTTTAAAAACGGTCCTCTTGATTCAGATTTAAGGCAACGGTTATTAATTGTAGCCGTATATGGAAACGCATAAAAAGCGTCACCTCAGAGGCCATAAATAATCGTCCCCTATTCCTTTAATTTAGGCGACGCTTTTAAAAAGTGTGCCCAGAGAACACGAAAAAACATCCCCTTAGGCTATAGGCAACGCTTGCACAGGAGACGCCTGGAAAACGTCTTCTATTCTTTTAGGCAACGATTTTCAGAGTTCTGACAACGTTTTTCAAATGTTGCCAGAGGCAACAAATGTTGTAGTGCTCCTTTCTTCAGATTCAAAATCTTTTGTTACAGATACGAAGTTTCCTTCTAGTCGAAGACCCTGGAACCCTTTTAGTCGAAGGATATGAGAACCTTTTGGTCGAAGATTCATTTTAACTTAGAAATTTCTCTAAGTACTTTTATACTCTGTCGAAGCCTTTCCAACTTAGACTTGTTCAATCTATTTTTGACCCATAAGACTAACTTGTTGTAGGTGTCGAATTTAGTCCATACACACTTTTTTTTAAAAATCCAAAGCATTGCAAAAAGCTTATTCTGAAGCCATCCATGTGGGCCTCACACTGAAGCCCAATCTTTTTTTTGGCACACCAAAGATAAGCAAACAAGAAGCCTTCTTGGACTTTTCACTATGAGCCTAGCGCCTGGGTTGCTGAGCCAAACACCCTGTTCTGGTCCACACACCCCCTGAGCACTTTGTAATTTCTTTTTGTTTGTTTAAATTATTTATTTCTTGCATAATTTTTCTTTACTTAAAAAAATAAAAAAAATATTAGATTAGAATTTGTTTTTTTGTTTTTTGTTTTAAGATAATATTATAATATGATTTCCATTATTACATTTCAAATTTATTTTTAATCATAACTTATTATCTATTAATTAGAAAACATCAAAAGATTAAAAAAAAAAGGTTATAAATAGAACTATTCAAAAGAAAAATTGAAACTAGCACACAAGCTACTTTTGGTCTCCCAATTTAGAAACCACCACACTCTCAAGGTAATCAACAAGCTTAGTAAGACAATTTTGTGACGATCCACCTTCTTGAACAGCTTTCCAAGCTTTCTCTTTCATTTCTCTAGCTCTTTTTCTTATCTCTCCACCACCACCATCACTATCCATCAAACTCTTCACACCCTTCTCTATCCTTTCCCTACTCACCACCGTCTTCTTAGCATCATAAGGTGACATACTCCACTCCGCCGCACCAACCTCCACACCAATACAATGCACCTCCGTCACCAACTTCTCATTGTAATATTGATCTCCGAACCCCGGCATCGTGATCATCGGTACCCCGGAACTTATCGCTTCCACCGTCGCATTCCAACCGCAATGAGTCAAGAATCCACCTATTGATGGATGGTCCAATATCAACGCTTGCGGAACCCAACCCTTGATCAATAGTCCTCTATTTTCACCCTTAGTTCTCTCTTCAAAACCTTTTGGTAACCAATTATCATCTTCTTCTCCTTCTTTTCCATGAACCACCCAAAGAAAACTATGCTTCGAAGCTTCGATTCCGAAACCTATCTCCTTAAGTTGTTCGTTCGATAGTCGACATAAACTCCCGAAGCTAATGTATACAACTGAACCTACTTCCTTCGTGTCGAGCCATGCAAGACTCACATGTTTATCATTAGCATTAGTATTAGTATTACTATTAACTTGTTTCTTCTCTTTGGTGTTTTCCACCATGAGAGAAGTTGGTCCAACGTGCCAAACCCTACGTCCGGTGAGATTCTCGTAGTATTCGGTGTAACCTTCGTCGAGCTCCGCGAAACTATTTACTATAACGCCATGCGAGCCTTTTTCTGCTTCGACCAATGACTCAGTGACCCTAGCGAAACCTGGCGAGGGTTTGATAGGAAGTGTAAGTGGATGAGGAAGGCCGGGGATATGATAAGGTCCTGAATCAGAAAGAAAAGCTTCCGGATGAGATTTTATAGCTTCGATGAGACAAACATCGAATATCGAAATCGGGTTAAAAACAAGCCTTGGAATTCGAAGATCTTTAGACGTTTGTTCACTCCACGTGAACATGATATCAGGAATGAAGACATCAGGGGGGTTTTGTTTCATGAAGCTTTCGATATCTGGTTTAAGGAGATGAGCAGCCATGGCTATTTTGCCGGCGGTTTGGTTATCCGAAGCGGAGAAGAGGTTTTCGACGCCGGGCGGGAGGCCTAGCTGGGTGGAGGGGAATTGGATGATGTGGACGGTGATGTGGTGGCCGGCGGCTTGGTCTTGTTGGATTGTTTTGTCGAAGGTTTGGGCGTTGGAGGGAGTTGTTATGATGGTAACTTGTTGGTTTTTTGAAGCTACTAAACGAGCTAGGTTAACTAGAGGGATTAAGTGTCCTTGTGCGAAGAATGGGAGCATGTAGATTCTCAATGGCTTTGATTCTGAACCCATTTTCAGATTATGTGATTTTCTTGGTGTTGGTTGGTAGTATATGTTCTTAATGTGCGTATTATATAAGTAGTGACACACTTATCTAAGTCATAAACAGTCCATAGACCATAGAAAGAGGACAAGGAAGGATTAAAATATGTTGTAATTGAGAAACTCGAGCTACTCGTTCTATCATTGCTTATTGATTAAAAATTGAACCTCGTGGACTGCGTGGATATTTTTTAATTGAAAAGAACCTTGATATAATTATAAAAAAAAGTTGAATAGACTTATCTATAAATTAAAGTACATTTAAATTACTTCAAATTTGAATTATTTATTAATTTTTTAAAATAATTATACTAGTAAAAGAAAATTGATTGAAGTATTTGTTGCTTGATTTAGTTTGTGAATCTCTCTCTTTTTCTCAAATTTTTCATTTATAGTAGGTAGTACTGAGATTGAAGAGATCCTATTTGTGTGGATTGAGTAAAAGTATTTGTAATACGGTGAGAGAACTAAATTGGTTGTTTTGCGTTTGATCGCAATTGTTGCGGATAGTAGGAGTCGCTACCGACTTTTCTTTTATCCAATAAAGGAAATGGTGAAAAGAATAGGAAAGACCTTTCGAGATATCTTCTTGAGTTCGGAGGGTAGGTTATGAAAAGGGAAGGTGTTAGCATCCTTTTCATCTGTAGTTATCTACGGGCTCTTAGTTGCTTGCTAGATCACTTCGAAAAATGCTTTGTTTGAAATATGTTTGTGTGGGTTTTTTGAAAGTATTTTGAAAACGCCTTTGTTTCGGCAAACTTTATAATGATTCTCGTCTCTATAAGAATGTATACAAAGTGTTGGTTTTGAAAATAGTTCAAAGAGATGTTTGTTTTTGAAGATGTTTTGAAATTGTAAGTGTGAAAATGGTTTTGATTTGTGAGCAAGCAACTACGAGCGTCCTACCTACTCAAAAAGTTTTTGTTCTTTTCCTCCTCCTTTAGATGTTACTATCTTACCATTGATTGGTAGAAAGTCCCATCATTGGATGTGAAGGGACAAGCGTGGGTCAATCGTATAGTCATTGAAGACAACTTATGAGACGCTTTATCAATTTTCATAAGAGACTAGATCATTTACCGAAGGCAACATCGAGGGACTACGATCTTTTTTATCGAGGGTCTTTGCTAAAACGCCCATATTCAAGGGACATGACTATTTTCCGAGGCAACAAGTGAGGTTACCCTAGAGGTATACGTGTGCGAAGTGTGTTTGATTGCATGCATTTTTGTCTTTGAGATTGGGGTTTTCTAGCGGTTGATTTTATCTTGCTATACACACCCTAATTACTAACAATTTATATTAAAGCGGTAAATTGGGGAAATTAAAATCCTAAGCTATTACATCATTAGGGGAGTGGGGTACAATTTACAAATGGGGATGAGGTGGAAACTTAAATATTACAACCATATCGAATAACAATGAAGGAAATGTAAAAATAGTGTAAAAAGAGGGAAAATTTGCATTTTGAACTATTATGTGTCGACACATGTTGTTATGTATCGACACATAAATTTCCTTGTCCCTGCCAAACCAAGTCAACCCAGTATGAGTCGACGCATAATGGAATGTGTCAACTCATTCTGCTTCCTGTTTCTGAAAAATCCCAAATCAACTTAGTATGAGTCGATGCATTATGGGATGTGTCGACTCATGCACCTGTTTGTGTCGACATATACGTGTTTTGTATCGACTCATGCACCTTCCATCCTTCTGTTTTGGAGCCTGCAAAATAGTATGAGTTGATGCATAAGGCCATGTGTCGACTCATATCCTATTTTTTCACTAGAATGAGTCGACTCATGTGGGTATATGTCGACTCATGCTGCAGTTTTTCGCCTCTATCATCATTCTATTGTGTGTACAGGTTAACTCATAGTATATGATTGATAAAAAATTAATAGTAAGCAAATGGCTAGCTCAAATGGACAATGATTACTACATTTTATCTTCAAGAATAAATTATTAGTGATGTATGAAAAATGCAAAGTCAAGAAGATTTACCTTGAGACTGCACTTAATGTTTTAAGGCTGAATACTTTTCAAGAAGTTGTGAGGGTCTTAATGAACCTTCAGGAAGTTGTTCCAAGCTGTTTGAACCTTCCTTTGTATTGAAAGTTGCTGAAATAACTTCAACCCGGTCAAGTTACA